CCTCCTCCTGCCTCTTCTGCCTCGGGTTGCTGTTTGCCTGGAAAGCGCTAAATCGGCGGGTGATTTTCCAGCTCACTGTCGCCCTGTGTAGGTCAGTGGAATCGCAAAGCCACTCTCGCAGCTTAGAAGGGGTGAGTGCAGGTTTAGGGAGATGCGATCCCAGCAGGAAAAGAAAGTGCTTACCTGGAGGCTAACACAATGCCGGAGCTGGTGTTCCCGAGCCTCCATGTTCCCGAGCCTTGAACATGGTACTTTTCCAGACAGGGGCTCATCCCTCTTGGGCACATATGAAAAAGGCCAGTTCGGCTGGAGCTGAGCTGGGGCCGCTGGCAGGGGAGGCACCCGCTCCTCAGGCAGCCCAAACAGTTTTAAATGCCCGTCCCAGGAAGGGGCCGAGGTGCAGCGGTTTGACCATCGAGCCCTTATTCCCAGCGCTGTCCCACGGCTGTGCTGCAGCTATTTTTGTGGATCCCCAAGGAATGTTCCTCCAGCCATTTCTAGCAAGTCAGTCACAGTGACAAGCGAGGAGCGCTCTGGGAACCATGTGCTTGACAGAAACATTCAGCAGTTCGGACTTGTCCATTTATGTGTTGCGTTTTCATGGTAAACTGTTACTTTTTTTGCCTAAGGCAGAAATCTAGATATCCTTGGCTGAGAGGATGATAAGGCAGAGATGTGACAGGCAAACGGATTCATTTTTTTTTTTTCTTCGACTTCTTTCTCCAAAACTTGCCCCTTTATTATTGCTCACCAGTAGATCTCCTTCCTTACACTGTAACTTGCCCATAAGAATCCTGCTGGCAGCCTCCCTGCCCTGGGCCGAGGGAAGGGGCTCCTCGAAGCCCAGCATGGTACAGTGTGTGAGCACATCCCTGGGGGATGCAGAGAACTGGTTACAGCAGGTGCAGCCGGCGCTCAGCAGCTCTGCGAGTCACCGCAGCATCGCGGGTGGGATAGACCGGGCACCGAGGAGCAGCTCTGCCGCAGGCGCCGGCTCTGCCTGCTGGAAGAGAGGCAGAGCTGCCAGCTCTGCGAAACTCTGAACACAGCCGTCAATCTCCCGTTCGATGCAATAAACACGCACTCCCACCAGAGCCACCTGAAGCGAGTGTTGGTAGCGAGGCTTTTACCAGCTCGCAGATCAGCGGCAGCGCCTCCGCACGGCCCTTGTGTCTCCATGCAAAGCACAGCCGAGCCACAGCGAGCAGGGTGGCACCTCCTGGCCGCGGCGCCGGCAGCCCTTGTGCCAGCCCTGACCTGCTCTCCAGCCTGCTGGTCCTGTCGGGCAGGGACCGAGCTCGGTGCCGCGCTTGGCTCCCCATGTTCTCCTTGGGGACCGGCTGTGCTTCCCGGGCTGTCTGAGGCTGGTTGTCCTGCGAGGCAGGTGGCCCAGAGGGCTCACGGCCCCCTGCCGTGGCGGGGGGGCTTGGCAAGACCCATTGGTGTGGAGCGGCTTAGTGGATGCGAGCACCGCAGCCACAAACCAGGACTGGGCAGTGACATCTGCTCTGCAGGTTCGTCTCGCCGCAGGGAATCAAATACATTATTGGGAGAGCGGTCAGAGGCTTTGCTGGTTTCTCTAACGTATAATGCAGCAAGCTGCCTTTCTCCTTCCACAGCCAACTGTAAACAAACTTGATGGTCCAAAGACTGTTTTTATTTCTCTGAGGCTGATTCCCACTGTGCTTTTGTCCAGTATCTCCTGCCTGGTGACAGAAGGTCTCAGGGTCTAGGCTGTGGTTTCTTAGCTAATGGCTCTTAATCTTTGTACAAAAGAGATTTTGGTGTAAGGCTCCCTGCTGGTCACGTTGCCCAGATCAGCCTTTGTGCCCTGGAAGGTAACGTCTCTGTACAGAGAGCTCTGCAAACAAGCAAAGCAAACAAACTCGGACCTTGTCTTTGTGCACGTTCCTGGACTCCCCCACGGGTCCGTGGCGCAGAGTTGCTGACTTGCAAGTTCAGCACCTTCAGTGGAACCCGAAAGCATGGTTAGATACCCTGCTGTCCTGCTTCCAAGTGGCCGTGGCTGTGGAGTTTGAACTCCTTCATCGGCCACTATCTGCCTCTTGCGTTTCCCCAAGGGGACACGCTGACCCAGAGCCGGGTTAGAGGTGCATGGGCGTCCCAGCCCCTCGCTGATTTTCTACTCTGGAAGCAATGAATGCTGTGCCCGATGCTGTATGGTGGTGTTCGTCGTTCTTTCCCATCCCAGCAAGAACTCTGGAAGCGTCTAAGCGTCTGCAAAGGTGCCAGCTCTGCTGACAGCATTTGCTTTCTTTGTGATTACTCAAATCCCTCTGCTCTTCAAGACAAGCAGAGAAGAGAAAGATTTTGCTCCATATGCCTATAAGCCAGCCAGGGTCCCTTTGGTAACTGACCCACTGCAATGATCTCAGTGGGCCCAAGGCTTCCAAGTGGAACCTAGCAGCAGGGCTCCATCCTAGCTGGTCAGCCAAGTTCGTGAAGCTGGAGGAAAGAAAATTCCTTTGTTTTGCTGTTGCCTGTGAGAACATGAGTGGGAACAGCAGTCGTCTGTCTTGTGAGGAGGCTCCACATGCTACTCAGCCCTTCCAGACCCTGTCTTTTTCACAAGTATCCGATATTTTGAGTTGCTCAGTTATCTTTATCCTAACTTCCCTCTTTTTCTCCCATCCCTATGGCTATCAGGCGCAGCCTTCCCTAGCCAGGCTAGCTCCTTCTGCTTGTCTGCAATACCATTTGCAACGCCTGCATGTTCAGTGCAGTACCTGAACTCCTCTTTGTGAGTGATTCTTCAGCAGGTTTTATACATGTTGCAGGTACTGGAGCAGCTGAATTTCCTATACAGTCTTGTGGTCTGATCCATGCAGTGATGGGCCTGAGCAGACTGCAGTGTCTGTAGATGGCTTTATTCAGACTTCTCACCTTTTAATTATGTAATATGACTGTATGGAGAAAAACGTAACCCAGTTCTCTGATTGTGCAGCTATTTCATCGACCATTCCCTGGCAGATACTCTTGTAACCTCTCGCTTCTCTGTTCTTGTCGCCAGGGCCATCAAACAGTGAAGGGGCTGCCAAGGTCAACCTCCTGAAGAGGGTCCCGGCGCTGAAGGATGGAGACTTCACCCTAGCAGAATGGTAAGAACCAAGTTTGCAAACTGTTGGAGAAAGGGAGACTGCGACATCATATGATCATCGACAAGACTCGTTTATTAATCTTTCCAGGCTGCCTTTTATACATTCGTTAATTAGCTTCATGCATATTGCAAAGCTTTAGCTCACGATTGGTTGCTAGGGAGGTTGCTATGTCCTGGCCGCATAGGCTCTTTCCCAGCTCTGCAAAGTTGTTTACCCAAAACGGCTAACTACTCCTTCCCACATAGCTCCCCATTCCCAGCCGGCCAAGGACAACTCACCTACAGCAAACAGCCCTGGCTCCCAGTAGTCCCATTCAGGAGACATCATTCCCTCTGAACAACTAAAAATCGCAGGATTTGCCAGGAGTTTTTAGGAACTGGATGGTTTAATGATCTGCATTGGCATTTCAGTTTCTGTGTTCCTGAAGAGAAAGGAGGTGAAAGTCCATTGATCCGCATGGCACAGGGGAAGCTGTGGATGGTTCACACAGGGAGGTGGTTTTAAGATGCTCCTTTGGCAGGAACTTCTTGCCATTATGTCCTTGAGTCTGGTTATGGAGAAGCAGGTCTTTTCTGCCTAAAACGATATTACAAGTGCTTATTTTCTCCATCGAATACCTTATCTCTCGGTTTGAAGAGGGTAATACATTATGAACTCATACCTAGGTCTTGACATATACACATACTATTGCATATAATTCTTTTATTTTAGATCTCTTTACCTTACACGTAACACTGAAAAGTGAAAAAATCTGCATCATATGTCATACCTTGTAACATTATTTGTACATCAGTACAACATCAGTATTTGTAATAGTATAACCTCATTCATAATCTCATTTACTCTATTTCCATTTTCTTTGCTTGAATTATCTTTCACAGCCTAAATCAATTAGCTGGTTTAACTTCTTGATCCTCCCCCGGATGCAATTTCCTCAAAAACTGGATTATAAACACTGCAGGGAAATGTTTAAAGCTTATCAAATCCCTTTGAGAAAGGTGGAACCACTTCTGTTTATATGAATCAGTCATAAAGGCCAAATGAAGCCCTGCAGAGACCAAAATTATGTTTTACATTCTAAATTTACTATGGAGATCTATGACCTAACTCGTTAATAGTATCTTAACACTGAAACAAGTGAATTACTGTTGCAGGAGGCCTTCATTTTCTTTCTTTTTGCCCACACAGGGTTTTCTGTGGCATGGCTTTATATTAACAGCCTACATGTTGCTGCAAATAACTAAGACATTTTTTTTTGTCTGCTTTCTCCTGCCAGTTAGTGATGATACCAATGGATGGACCTAGCAAGCAGGAAAAAAAAAAAAAAAAGTCTGTGGGCTCTCCTTGCTGGGATTTCCACTGGCTTCAGTGGAAGCTGCAGGCTGGAAGGACCTAGATGTGCTCCGAGGGCAGCATGACTCACTGGACAGTTTTGTTCTGTGCACAGGCACATAAACATCAGCAGGTCTCAGCGAGACGGCTCAGAGCAGCTGAGGACCAAACGGGCTTAACGATGCTGATAGATGATTAGAGAGATTTACTGTTTGTTTACGCAGTGTCTAGGCGCTGCCCAGCAGCAAAGCGGTGGTTTCCAGCAGGTTTTCCGCAGGGTTAGGGGAAGTGAGTGCCAGCAGGAGCTGGGTGCCTCTGCGTGTCCCTGGGCTCCAACGCAGACGCTGAGCTGAGCGCTGGCTCGTGGCAGCCGCGCGTGCAGACGGGGCAGGGAGGTGCCGGGGGAAGCTCTCGTCATCGCAGCACCCGTCCTGACCCGTCCTGTCTCGTTACTGTGTGAGCAGCACCGCTATCCTCCTGTACCTGAGCCGAAAGTACAACACTCCTGACCACTGGTACCCGTCGGACATACAGAAACGGGCCCAGGTAGATGAGTACCTCTCCTGGCATCACGCTAACATCCGGGCTAATGCTCCTAAGACCATGTGGATCAAGGTAAGGAGACCGAATACTGAAATGTGAGCAAAATAATGCTTTCCTGGCAGAATATTGAGCGCTTGAACAGGCCTGATGCACAGAATTGGTCACACTGAATTTGTCGCATTGCTATCGCTAGCTGAGAGGAACTTTCCTCACTGCTCAACATGGGGATCTGGCAAGAGCAGCTTTGGTCATTTTTGTTCTTGTATTTAAAGTCAGTGTGATAAAGAAAGTCTCAAAGTCCAACATGTTTTCATTGCCTAGGGTGGACAAATGTGTAACAGATTGGAGCGCTGCCGATGCTGGCCTCCCCCTCGTTACACAGGTGTGCACAGAGTTTTGCTGCCTCGGCGAGTGCGCACGTGGCTGCTGGAAGCTGAAAGCCCATGTTCCTCAAACACCAAATCCCTGCAGTCCCAGCAGGGTGGGAACCTGGAAGAACCTACGCACTCCTTTGGAAGTGGCTCCAGGACAAGCAGAATGGGGGGACCAAGAGAATGGCAGAATCTCTTGATTGAGTCCAGTCAGATCAATTTATGGCGAGGCAAAATTAACAAGAGGGCAGAAAGCCACTTATTGTCAGATGATTCTGCTGGCCACCAATCTCCAGCCAGCTCCTCTGAAAGTTAACATAAATGTCCTCAGAGAAACCCAAGTGCAGATATAACTCTACAAGTAGAGTGTGATATAGAATATCAGACAAAATAAGGCTTGTCAGTGAATGGGTAAGAACTTTGCCATTCCTATGTTGTTTGCCCTTGTCTGTGCTTAACAAAACATCAGGGTTCATTCAGTTTTTGATGTATTGACATTTGAATTTTTGACCAGAGAGCACAGAGAAGCAATACAAATTTGAGTCAGATTCATACAAAAGGCAGTTTTTTCTAGTCTCTGCAGGCTGACATTACAGTGCTTCGAGGCAAACAAATCCGGGTCATCCCTGCTGCTGCTAAGATACCCCAGCTACAGAAAAGATCCTCAGAATCACTGGAAATAGAAAACTGTATAAAGCCACCATGTAACATTAGCTAAACATGGGAGAAGACAAACAGACCCAAGAGCAAGGAGAGGAAGAGGATGTCATTTCAGACCCAGAGGTCCCATCACGCGTAACTGGAACCACTTTGGAAGAGAGCTGGCCATGAATTTTCCGATGGAATAGATTCCGTGTGTATTCGGCAAACATCCTGGCTGGGATTAAGCAATCACAACGTGACTTGCTGAATATACTAGCAGTGAGGACAAATTTACTCCACTCTCACCAGTGGAAATTTATATCTCTAATTCTGCCTATTAACTATATTTCTTTTGAAGCCATGGTTGGCAGAGGCACTGTAGCTGTGAGAGCTCCAGCAGTGGCACACGTCTTCATGAATCATTGCTGGAGCAGTAAACCTCTCAAACCATAAGTTTTTAATTTGAGATTTGCAGTGACTTCTTTCATGGATACAATGCACACCAGAGACCCTGGCCTGAAGATGGAAGGGCCGACAAGGCCCACGCTCCCACGAGCGCTTTGGACACGTGTGCGCTCAGCAATCCCAAGCAGCTCATGGGCCGTAACTTAAACGACTCAACTAGGTACAGGAGGAGGTGGCTGATGGCACTCCAGGTCCGTTCTCTCCTCAGGTGCTGATTCCCCTCTTCACTGGGCAGCCCCTGCCCACAGAGAAGCTCCAGGAGGTTATGGAGGGGCTGTCCACTTCGCTGAAGCAGTTTGAGGAGAGGTTCCTTCAGGACAAGGCTTTCATCATCGGCAGCGAGATCTCTCTTGCGGATCTCGTGGCCATTGTGGAGCTGATGCAGGTGAGTGCAGGAGCGCGGTGAGCAGGGCCCAGCACGGGGAATGCAGCGGGGCAGCGCGTGGGAAGGGGCTGTGAGGGCATCTCAGCAGGCAGCAGCCCTGGGATCAGCAGGAGAATAGGAGAGTAGCTTCAGAAAACTGGTTCAAAAAGGAAGGAAAAAAAATAGCTTCATCAGTTCTCTAATAATATTTCTCTAATAATACTTCTCTAATAATATTTCTCTTTCACTTCATCCCTTATCATTACTATTTTTAGTGTCTGGAGAAAGAGGCAGTATAAGAACATTTTTGTCACACAAGAATATTCTTCTTCAGATGGTACTTTCCCATGCCATGCCTGGAAGAGCAAAAGTGAATCTCAGCTAGATGCTATCAGATTAAGGTTGTCACAAACCAGGTGTGTTCTCCTAGGCCATCGGGGCTTGAATCTTGCAGTTCAGAGGTGCTTCCCGCTCATAACTGTGCCCTAGAGACTGAGAAATTGCAGTTCTGCTTCTCTACAGCATCATGTTTTGGAGAAAGGTACAGGCAGAGAGCAAAAGGGGAGTAGATCAATTAAGACATCAGTTCAGTCAAACATTAGCTTTTGCCTGCGATATTCTTGGGGTTGGCTGTCCTGGTTGCCAGCTGGCTGCCCCGTGTCTCACTGCTGCTCTCCCCATTTCTGCAGCCCGTCGGAGTCGGCTGCGACGTCTTTGAGGACAGGCCGAGGCTGATGCGGTGGCGCCAGCGGGTCGAGGAAGCTGTGGGGAAAGAGCTTTTCTTCCAAGCCCATGAGATGATCCTGAATATCAAAGAACTGAGCAACATTCAGATCGATCCACGGCTGAAGGAGCACCTGGCACCTGTGTTGATGAAGATGCTGAAATGAATTAACCTATGTTACCATTTTCCCTGCTCTTTTTTTTTTAAGCTTCTTCCTTGATCTCCAGATTTCTGTGTGACTGGAAAGAGCTGTGTAATTCTTACACAGAAATTGCAGGACCTCCCAACCTTTTCTTGCATCTTTGGGGGTAGAAGATGGGAAATTTTTGCGAGATGAAACATTAAATTTATACAAAAGGCTGAGGCCCTATGGGTCATTTAATATGTGCCTCTGGGTTTTATTTTAGAGTGTCAGTATTCTCAGAGTTGGCGGAGACATGAATGCTGTTTCCTGACAAAATCTGAGCCAGCCCATGAACTGGGAGCACCTGAGACCTGTAGAGGATGAGGATCATCCTGTCCTGTGTAACGTTTGCTGCTCAAAATTCTTTGCAGGCAGCAAGCACTGCACCGCGTGCCTCATCCTCACCTTCCCAGCAGCTCTCTGGGCTCAGATGACCCCAGAGCAAAACTACAGGCAATCACAAAAGTGGAAAAAAAAAAGGATGTATTTTTTTTTTCCTTTAGAAACTTCCTTGCTGCTGGGGCATCTTGCTTGGCCGTCCACGTCCATTCCGCACTTTGTTTGCCTCTAGGCTCCCGTGAAGTTTCCCCATATCCATCTTCACTGTGAATCTTTCCTGTGTGATGATGCAGTTTAACCACGACTCTCCCCTGGTGAAAGCCTGGCGTTTGTGAGCGCATGTCGACCAGCAGACACCTGACAGGGGCAACGCAGAGGGCAAAGACCAAAGCAAATACAAAAGCTGAGTGGCCACAGCCCACCAGCAACTGCCTACTTAAAATATTCTTGTTGATATAGTTTAGGGAATACATGGAAAGAATACATTCACAAGGATTTCTTGAAAGAGAGTGTGACAGCTATCAAAATATACATATATATATTTTTCCTGTGATAGTAATAGCAATCCTCCTAGAAAATGAAGGAGAGAAAGCAAGCTAGACACCCTCCCCTGAGACTGTTGGATGGAAGTTCACCAAACCAGTCACCCTGTGCAGCTGAAGCAACACAGGGTTTTGTGGCATTGAGTAACATGTGCCTCACAATAAAAGGGCTGAGGGCTGTCTTAGAGCTTTCTAGCTTTCTTTTGCTCCCTTGGCTATGCTTAGTTTTGTATTAGTTGTACCTCAGATACAAAACCCTTTTGTACTGCAGCACAATTAATAAGGGAGACTTGAAGGATTCCAGCCACTTCTAGTTTCTTCAGTTGAAAACTGCAAATGATAAAGGATACAAAAACTAGTGGAATGTGGCTTTTCTTTTGCACGCTTCCATTCATAATTAATTGTTGTTCTTGAATCTTTGCCCCAAAACTCTTCCTCTGAGAAATGAAGATAAAATGAGTAATAATTCAGGAATTCCTGCTCCCAGTAATTAAATAACATCTTTTCTTTCCAGTACTAACATATCTTGGCAGATCAAGTTACTGTTGTTAAATTCTAGACAGGCTGATTGTGTTTTTCACTGAGGTTTAGGTTCGTGAAACTCTTCAATTTAGTTCAGAAGAGAGATTTAGTTCCAGAGATTTTAAATTCGCTGTCTAGAAAGAGAATTCCAATAGAGACTTCATTAGCAGAAAAAAAAAAAGATTTGGTGATTATGTTCTCTAAGGACTGAAGGCTTTGTCATGAACTAAAATATTAGGAATAGGCCTATTTATTCCTATCCTTCCTCTTCTTCCCTTTCAAGTATTAGCTGAAAATCATGTTGTTATTGACATTTTTATTCACAAAAATGCTGTGCACAATTATGAGTTAAATTTTAAATGGAAAATGGTTGGTTTTATGAGAATTTTAAGAGTGAGTTGCTCAATGGCTAATGACATGTACAGATGTCTACAAACAAGAAAAAGCTACCAGGATTTTCCAAAGGCTGAGAGAGATGGAGACTAATTTAACTGCTGCAGCTCTGCCGTCTTCTATCTTGGTTGTTTGTGCATCCCCTAAAAGGATTTTGTATCCTTGTGCACGGAGGCCCTGGGGACTGCACGAAGGCCCGTAGGGCCTTTGCATCCCCAAGATGGAAACAGAAACAATAAAACAAAGGTCATTGGTTTAACAGAAGCCCTTTGGGACTTGAGTTGTACTTGGAGGCCACAGACAATCTGCCGTTCTCGGGTGGACTGTCGAGAGCGAAGCGCAAAGCACCTCATTGCACATGTTTGTGACTTAGCCCCATGTTCTGTGGTGATTGCCAGCATCTCATACTTCTATCTCTTTTGCCTCTTTTCCCTTTAGAGGCCTTCTGATGTGCTGGATGCCTGTCACTTGGCATTCTTTTGGCCTTGGTGTTTAAATGGAATGAGATTTCAAATATTTGAAAGAATGAGAAGCAGAAGAACAAATCCTAAATGGCATCTTACCTGGAGGAGAGAACAAAGTGGAAGACAGAGCAATCTTGGCAAATGAGCTAGACCTCAGCCCCTCTCTAAATTCACACCAATTTCTGCAAAGGTAAATGAGATGCCATGTCGAAAGTGCATTGATAGAGAAGATAAAGGGCTTCTGGAGTGGAGAGGGGTTGCAAGAGGCTGCCTGTGCCATTGCCCTGAGTGGGGTTCGTGTGTCCCAGGACGGGGGCTGCCAGTCTTGGGCAGCTTGGGCTCCTCGCTCCGGGAACGCTGGCACTGCCGCTGGCCGGGGGCTGAGCCCCCTTGCTGACACCCTCTGCTCTGGCTGCAACTGCTCTGTGCCCGGGTCTGCCAGCCCTGGGAGGGCTCTGCTCGAGCCACCATCCCTGCCAAGCCCCATCCTCCACCCAGCTGGGGCTTCTCCCTTTGGAAACTCTCTCCTAGAAATCTGTTTTCAGCCTTGGTGTTGGCTGCTCTCTACAGCCGCTCCCCGCGCCAGCATTGTCAGCATTGTCCTCATAACCCGTAGTGGTGGCTCTCGGATCAACAGTCCCCAGCAAAAAAAGTGCAACCCCGCCCGCTTTCACTGGCACCGCGGGTGTGGAAGGGGTCCCCTTCGCCCACAGCTTCTCCGTTACGGCCTCGGTATGAGTGTGCTGGCTGGAAGCTGGGAAGCGCCACGCTTCCCTCGCAAACTTGGCATACTTGGTTCAGAGCCAGGCGCAGATGCAGACGACCGAAAAGTCACGTTCCACAGGGACACTTTCTGCAGCAGCGCTGCCCCTTGAGCAAGCCGACTTTTCCTCTAGCGTGCTCATAACCTCGCAGGGCAAAGGGCAAGAATCCCCTCGCCGCGCGGCAGGCGAGAGGCG